AACATTTGGCAGAAACTGACTAAGCAGTACACAAAGACACACTCTGCCAGCCTGACGCACAACGCAGGGAATCTATGCATTCTGGCAATTTGACATCATATAGAACAGGGAAAGAGTAAACCACACCGATTAGTCTCCTCTACATCTCAGACTTTAATTCTTCTGCCTGTGCTAGTTCAACTAAGTTTCTATTGTTTAATGCGCCTCCACGTCAGAATTAGTTGCAGCAACTGAAAAAAAACAATCATATCAGACCTGGGGGAGGGTCTTACTTGCTCTGCAATTTATGCCGGTCAGCAACTGCTGAAGCTAAAGACAAGATTTTTGCTAAAAGCTCACTAAAATAAACATTATTCAAAGTCTAGAATATTCAGAGTGAAACAGTAAGTAGTTACAAAGTAAAGACACCCACCTACACTATGGATTTGTGGCAAATTATGATCAGTAAATGTAGCTGTCGGGTTTTTTAGGCTGCTTGTTAGATAATTTTAGCTAACTTTGGGTTTATGTGCGGCAAGAGAACAGGCTGGGCTTACACTAACACTGGCTTTCTAGCTAAGAAGTTTTAAAATTTGAAAAAAACTTCATAGTGAAAGTGAGAGAGTGTGAACGAGTGACAGGGACCGAAATAATGTCTATTCCTCTTAAAATATTTGGAAACACCAAAGTTCTGATACCAGTACTTGCGAAGTATTGTTGTTTACAGTAAGATGATGCCAGTCACATAGTAATGATCATAATGCAAATTTTATATTTCTCAATTTCTAAACATGTAGATGAAAATGAAGAGGTGGCAGCTCCATCAAAGGCCAGTACAAATTTGAAAGGATTGATTATTATTTCTTTAGGTTCTTGTAAATCCGAGTTTAACGAAAATGTTGTATTATTATACACAGGAATAGAGGGAGAGAAAGAAGCTGAAAGAGACTGGCAGGGCTGAAAGAGCAGATGTGATGGAAGTTAGTTACAAAGAAGAAAGCAAAAGAGAGTTATTTAAGTTTTCAATTAAAATTAGTACTGAATTTATGACCATGACATTCTGTCACCTAGCTCATTTAACATGCCTACAGAGCAAAATTACACCCTTTCTGATTGCACCAACTGAGAATGAACTGATCTCTGATATTTAATCTGTGTATTTGCAATAAAAATATTTGATTCATATATTTATGACCTTGCAGTTTACCTAAAAGAGAGGAGACTTTCTGGATAAAGTATTTTAATTTTAAAATTAAACCAATGATGAATTAAAATCTTTTAACTTCACTTTTAACACTGGCAGAGCTGCAGGCATAAAAGTGATGCTCAAACAATCTCCTCCAACCTCTCTGACTGCAGTGTTTTGCTTCAAAGAGAAATGGTGAAAAAAATACAATAGCCAGCCAAGTCTGCTGAGGCAAGTTTGATCACAAAACAGACAGTGTCCTTAGCCCTGATGAGCCAATATAAAACTAACAGACACATCCAGCAAACAAAATAATTAACTTTAATTGAATGTAAAGTGAGGAACAAGTGGTAACAAAGGACTGAACTTACACAGACACATAACTAGGAACTCCTGGGAACAATGATTATAGTGATGCATAAAATGTGACTAGGGTGGAGAGAAAGTCGAGTGGAGGGTCAGAGTGGAGACTGGACAAGGCTGAGTCTAGCTTGGAGAAACCATGACACTACTAAAACACATTAAATTAGTGATATCGTTTCTTGCAACTAGAGACTGTGTGCTTACCATTAGAAGTTTGAGAATGTACTGTGATTGAGGTGGTCAAACTGGTTGGGGTGTTGACCGCTGTACAGACAGAAGGGTTTTAATGTCAGTACAGGAACAAGACAGCAATAAACAATTTATCCAAAAAATCACATCAGTAAAATACAGATACAGAGTCTCATGACAAGTGTTCAAAGTTAAAGAGTGAAGATTTGTATGATATCTAACACAACCAGTGAGTTCAGATCATATTTAGTTTTGATATGATACAAATACAGACCAAAGCAATGTTTTACCTTCAACAGTGAGTATCATTTCTGTGTATTCACTTCCTTTAACATTGCATTTGTACACTCCTCCATCCTCTTCAGTGAGGGGGGGTATGAGTGGAGAGAGATTTCCTGGAGAGTGCCCATTAACCAGCTGAACTCTGTTTCTGTACTGAATCATATTGGAAATCACTCTCCATGTGTTACTGGTTTTGTTAAGTTTCATCCAGGTGAATGTCTCAGGTTTGGTGTGTAACTTAGTGCAGGTGCAGGGTAGCAGTGCTCACCCTCCTATATGTGCTTTGATATACAGTGCTTTTTCATTTTTTTACCACAGTGCAACCTGCAGAAACACATATCAATAAGGTAAGGCTAATCACACACTGTCTTTGTTTTATTTCACTGTTTAAATGAATGAATCGCCTAACTAATAAAAAACACAGTGAACTTAAATGATTTTGGTGAAGTTTACTAAGTTTACTCAGTTAATTATGGCAACTTTCTGGTGAGTAACTAAACGTTGGCATTAAGTAACAGTTGGAACAAAATCCTGGGGGGATTTTTACTTTCTGGGCCCAAACTACCCACCTTTGTTTGTTAGTGTTACGACCCTCAGTGACCCAATCTGGCTTGTAGTGGTGTTGCAAGCCAGTGGATGGTGCCTGGTAAATGATCTGCACCTGTGACTTGTAGCCTCACCCACCCGACTAACCACCCCACAGTTTCAGGGCTCTGAATGAGCCTTTCTGCTGGTGCTCTTAAAAAAGAGCACTTCTTGCAGCAGAATCACTGCCTCCACTTCTTCTGCTGACACCACACTAGTGTCAGAAGTAGGATAGTGCCACAAAGTGAATATAAACCTGGGTAGGCGTTCAGCGGTGGCTGCAGGCTGTGGGTCAAGTTCTGCGTAGATGACAGATGGCTCACCACCGCTAGCTCATCAGTATCCCTACTGTGACCAGCTGTGCTCATGTGCATCAGAAGAGACACATAGCTGGAGGGTGACCATCGTCCAGGTCAGGCCAGTCACCAGCAGCAGAGCCCCAACACACACGAGCAGCATTTCATACCAGCATTGATGGTGTAGTGGACAGCAGAGGAAGAGGACAGCAGCTGGGTGGAGTGGCATGTAGTTTTGGGAGGGGATGCTTGCCACTGAGGAGTGAGTGCCCCATGGTCTTAGCTGGCCCTGAACTGGGGGCATGCCCAGGGACTTGGCTCAAGTCGGTAGGTAACCAGGGACCGGCTGACCTTTGAAGGGAGGGTTATGTAGCATCCGCAGGTGTGCACAAAAGATCATTTCTTACAGCAGAATTATAGACTCCCCTGTGTTTCTTCTTGTGCCAATGCTACACTACCTTTGTATTCTGCCTCACTATTGTGTTGCGGTCTTTAATGAGCCGGCCATAACAGTTAGTAAAATTACTACTTATGAGTTTTGCATGGAATTGTGTTTGATTGAGAAGAGACTGCTAGCTAGTTGACTTTTCTCAGACTTGCCTGGCAATATTGTAAATATGAACATTTAAGGAATTTTAGGTATTTTCTGTATCCTTCACTTAGGAGGTGATTTTTGTGCTAAGTGGCTAAAAAAATGTAGCACAAATGTAGAAGCACAAAGGACTACATACCTCAAATCTGACCAACAAATTTACACTTTGTCAAGAGTAACCAAAGGAAATGTCACACTTACCTTCAGAGACATGAAGCCCAATGAAGAGAAGATAGAAAGTCAGCAACTTTCTCACTAGTAAAACAACACTGAGTTCACAGCACACTGACAGCTCCACACCCAGCGCTACACTAGCCCTGTATACCACACTGAGTACACAGCTCTCTCAGCAGCTCTTCACTGGAGTCTAACCCACTCTAATGTCCGTGCAGCTCACAGGAGCTGTGTTTAAATCAGCTAGACCAGAACTCTTCTGTCTTTTAGAGACTTTATCAGCAGTTTTTTGACACTCTCAAAGCCACAGTCATGAGAACACTTAGTGTTTCCTGTTTTGTGGTGCATCATTTCACAGTGCACACACACATAATGACCAAGTTGCTGCAGTTAGCATGGGGTGGGGTTTAGGGGAAGCAGTCTAGTGTGGCATTTAAAAATAGAGTGGACATGAGAAACAAAAGAATCAATGGCCTAAAGAGAACTCATACACACTTGCGGCCTTTGGAGTGTTCAGGAGAGCTAGTCCAGGTATATTCTGCTGTAAATCCATATGTAGTCATTTCTGGACTGTGCTGTGCTGATGTGTCACAGCACAGTCCAGAAATGACTAGCATTTAGTCCAGCATCTTGTTTCTCAAAATTGTGGTCAAGCAGATCTTACACTCAAGTAGTTTAAAGCATGAGAACTAACACTGCCTTGGGCAGCTCTGACCACATGTTTCTTGTTTTCTTTAATATTAGCCCTGCTTTCTTTTGTCTCACTAGTTGTGCTCACATGACCTCTGGTTTGTAGTTGCTAATATATGTGTAGAGGGCAGTGAGGCTCTATCAAATTAATTTATCTTTTGTCTACGAGACTTTATGGAACAAAAAAAGCTTTCAAGATTTTGGAGAGTGTCTGTGGGAATTTTTGCCCATTTATCCAGAACATCATTTGTGAGGTCAGACAATTATGTTGGACAAAAGTGCCTGGCTCCCCATCTCTGTTCTAGTTCCTCCCAAAGGTGTTTGATGAGGTTGAGGTCAGGGCTCTGTGAGGGCTCTTTCACACCAAACTCACCCAACCATGCCTTTATGGACCTTGCTTTGTGCCCTGAGGCACTCCTCCACCAAACCTTACACTTGGCACAATGTAGGCAGGTAATGTTCTCATGGCATTCGCCAAACCCAGACTCGTCCATCAGACAGATAGAGAAGCGTGATTCATCACTCCACAGAGTACATTTTCACTGCTCCAGAATCTAGTGGCAGCATGCTTGCTCTGCACCTGTCCCCTCACATTTGATCAAGGTGGCTGAGCTGCGGGGCGGGGGCAATGGAGGGGCAGTGGAACAAGAAGTGGCTCAGGAGCTCACGCTGCCTTAATGAGAGCCAGCTGATGGTGATATGGTGTCAGCAGCATGGGCGCCTTTAAAAGAGCAGAGAGGGAACAGAGAGAGAGACAAGGCACAAAACCTGTTGCTCTGCCTCTCCGTCACCAACATGCTCCCCAGGTTGGCCGCCTTGATTGAGAGTGAAGTGTAGTCAAGTGGAATTTGGGATTCGTGTCCCACCTTCTTGTCTCTCGTGGCTATCGTCTTCCTCTCCCTGTCACTTGCGGCCCTTGGTGGGTGCAGCTTCCCTTCCCGCTGACTCTCGCAGCTTTCATCGGGGCCCAGACGCAGGCTACAGTATCATTGGGAGGGCATAACAAGATGAAGAAGAAGAAGATGTATATTTTGCCTATCTATTGGTGGAAACACCACGTGGTGAACCTTGCTTTGTAGTTCTATAGTCAAGTGTAAAAGCTAGCTCCATACAATTGTAGGCCAAAATTAGGTTCCAGTGTCACACCCGTAGTCAAGCTACATGCTGAAATCCATTATCTCAAACACACGCTGGATAAAATTATTATAATAATTAAAAAAAAAAATGTAAAATATATTTTATATATATGAAACACGAAAAATGGGCCTAGTGTACTTTTGTATTCATACACTTTTACATGTCCTCAAAGCATTTGGTGAGAGAAGTGACTTGGCTCACCGTAATAAATATCAAGCATTAACTAACAAATTCTAAAAACATATAAATAGCACCTCAATTAAAAAAGGAAACTTCACCCTGAAACCAGCACACATTGGTCTGTAATGTGTTCATATTATTATTTTAAAATTATTTTTAGCTGTTAAACGAAACAAAAATATCAGTGATGATTTGATTTTCAGTGAAAATCAAATTTTAAACTGTGTTTACAATGTTAGCCATAGGCTTTTTTAATTGTTTTATTTTTACCTCAAAACACTTTAAAACACGATGTCCATTTACACATACACTGGACAGTTACTGCTTTATGCTTTGGAATACTATTGCATTTCAGATTGTATCTAATCATCAGTGAAACACTGTAGCAAGTAAACTAAGATCAAATCCTTCAATCTTGCTAGTATATTCAGCACTTCTGGTTTCATCCTTCTGAATTAGCCAATCAGCATCTAGCACTGCAAGCATTTATTCTCTGTTACAGTCTGTCAAACTATTTAACCCATTAAAATCCCAGGCTTATTACAGTACAGTGTCCCATAATACACTCTTGTACTCTAGCCTGCTGTGGGATTGTTTTGGAATAAAACAGATCATGAAGTGAACATGAAATGAAATTAAAGTAATAGCAAACATAGAAGTGACATAATTTGTTTATTTGGCAACTGGACTTTTCACAGTACAACAAGTAGTAACAATAGGAATGACAGTAAACACCATGTACTAAGTTTAAACTCTGTGCATAAGGTATAAAATATAAGTCTGACAGAGTAATATATTGCTGTAATATAGTCATGCCTGTAGCTCAGTAGTTACTATATAATTTACAATGCAAAATCAAGAAATAATTTAATCCGTATAATCCATAGAACAAAAGATAAATAAATAAAATTGTGTAGATAGTTATGGTGGTGTATTAATGGCCTCTATATGAATAAAATCTGGTTGCAATTTATTTCAAAACATTTACTGTAACTAGCTAATAGCAAAAATGTAAGAAACGTTGATGTTGAGATGTTTGGGCTGCTGTACGGTGAATTCATGCAGAACTGCTGTGTTCCAGAATGACCACTCCATCTCCATCAGCGACGTAGCGAACTCTAGAAGGATCTAAAAATGATGTTGGCAAAAAAGATGTTATATTAATCATTGGAATAGAAGTATGATTACAGCAGCTTGATTGTGTAGTTTGTACCTTCGGTTCTAGTAGTGTTATAAACCACAGCTACTATAATGTGAAGAAAGATCACAGTCACCAAGGCAAAGGGGACGAAGGGCAGAGAGTGTGGAGGAACTGTAACAAGAATTGGATCATATTTACAATATTGTGTCTGGACTTCAAAATATTATTTATGCATTTACATTTTATAACATACATGTTGATGAAAGCGCAGTTCATGATTTCAGAACATAGCTCAGATTGTCAGTTTGTCCAATGTTACCTCTATCATCAGATACAACAGAGTGACAGTTTTCCATCATACATTCTCAGCTCTCAGTAGCAATGTTTTTCAAAGATCTCCTTCCTTATCTGGCAAACATTTCTGAGTATTTCTAAATTTGCGCATTAAAGTTAGACACTAATGGCACAGTTGGTATATAAAGTGAGAATATTGGTGGGATTTCTCAGTATTCAAAACTAATGATTTATGAATATTTGTACAAATACATGTACAAGTTTAAGGAAGAAATATATAATGTGACCAGCATTTGACATAACAACAAGGACACACATTATATTTGTATGGGTCCTTTTTAACTGTTTTGTTCTTTCTGCATTAAACTGTTTAAAACTGTCTTGGGTTTTAGAGAAGGTGTAGGTTTAGTGTTGAAGTTCAGGTTAGGGTTAGGTTTAGGAGTAGGTGTGGGTTTAGTGTTGAAGTTCAGGTTAGGGTTAGGTTTAGGAGTAGGTGTGGGTTTAGTGTTGAAGTTCAGGTTAGGGTTAGGTTTAGGAGTAGGTGTGGGTTTAGTGTTGAAGTTCAGGTTAGGGTTAGGATTAGCAGACATGTATAACAGAACTAGTTACAGTTAGTTCAGGTTCAATTTTGTTGATGCAAATTTTACCGTCAACAGTGAGTCTGATGTCTGTGTATTCACTTCCTGTAAGCTCACACCTGTACACTCCTCCATCCTCTTCAGTCAGGTCTGATATGAGTAGAGAGAGATTTCCTGGAGAGTGACCATTAACCAGCTGAACTCTGTTTCTGTACTGACCACTCTCACTGGATATCACTTCCCATGTGTTTCTGGTTGAGTTGTCTTTCTTCCAGCTGAATCTCTTAGGTGTTGTGTGTAGGTCAGTGCAGTAGCAGGGCAGCAGTACTGACCCTCCTGTATGTGCTGTGATACTCAATGCTGTTCCTCTGTTTTCCAGAATGCAGCCTGCAGAAACAGGCAAAATAATAAGACTTGCACTGACCAAAGTAATTTCTTTGAGGAGCAAGTATGTGTGTCAAATAATGTTCATGAAAATAAAAATGCAACCAGAATAAATCTCATTTTTAGCATATATTTATATTTATATCATATAATTCATATAAATATATCATTTCAAATTAGGTAATTTGTTTGTCTACAGTTTGTGAATTCAGATTCCAAGTATATAACAGCTCAGCAAAGTTAACCCCTTACATGACAAGGGCCCATCGGCAGGCCCAAAGTTTTATTACACACTTCATTTCACACTATAGTTCAATTTGAACTGGCAGTCCCTGAGATGCCCACAGACTACTTTATGTTTCTTCATAAGTGAAGCTGATGCAAATGATATTTCAGGTACTGTCTTTGTTTCAATTTCATTACTGTTTAACTAAATCTACACTTGGGCCGTAGTACAGAAACTTCTTAACTTGGAAGTCTTATCTTAGCTCTTTAGTAACCATGTCAACTTCCATTAGGAATTTAGGACAGAAGCTATTACAGAACAACAGCTCTTAAGTGAATAATCTTATTCTAACTTCAGACAAGAAAACAGTACAAAAGCATCCTAACTAGTCTAAATTTCCTAAATACCACTATAATTTTACCCCACGAGTTGTTACCCCTTTTTTTTGTTGGTGTTTTTTTTGTTGGGATTTTTACCCAATTTTTACCCAATTTAGTCGTCTCCAATTCCACCCACTGGTTAGGACTCCCCCAATCACACGATACCGTCAATGCTAGGAGGGTGAAGGCTAACACAGGCTTCCTCCAAGACCCGTGAAGCACCACCGCATCTTTTTGAACTGCTGCTAATGCAATGTCATTGGACAGCTGAACGCGCTCGGAGGAAAGCGCCAACCACCAGATCTGTTACGTCAGCTAACAGACGCCTGCGCTGACTAGCATCGCGCTGAGTGATGGGGGGAGAAGGGGGGCCATCTTACCCACCCAGAGAGAGCGAGGCCAATTGTGCTCTCATGGACTCCCGGCTAAGGACGGCTGTAGCACCACCAGGGATCGAACTCGCGATCTCCTGATGATAGGTTAACTTTTGTTCTAACTGTTTGTTTGTTACTGTTGTTGTTGCTGCATGTGTTCATGTTGAAGAAAACTTCTCAGACAAATATTACAGTGATGGTGGTGAATAATGAGGTGACAAAGCTGAACATGTGCCTATTTAATAGGAGGAATAGTGTTGGCACGCTCAGGTAAAGCGTTTGGGAAACTGAAACTGTGGAGCAGTGAAGCCTTGATAAACAGCATGAAGCGCTGACACAATATTCTTAACTTCAAATTTATTACACTTTAGTTTTGTTTGACCATTTTACATCAGTAACAGTAGCTAATGTTAGCTGTCTGGCTAATAATCTTGATTATTTTGATTACGTTTACATTTAGTCAGTTGCTAGGTAACCGACATGGTTGATTGTCGATTTCGATTGAGTATGTTGAGATTTCCTAACTTGAGATAAGATGCAGCAAGATAAGATATGACTTATCTTTGCCTCTCAAATACAAAATAAATCTTTTGAAGTGATGTTAACTAATTTAGATTTATTGTGAGTTTAATTTTTTAAATAAGGACACTTATTCAAAAAATGAAAGTCTGAAATTTCTTTTCAACTCTGACTTTGAACCAAATCAGTAGAAATATCCAGAATTATGTTGATTTGGTAAATATGAAATGTAGATGATAAAGAGGAAATTCACTCTAATAGCAAAGTCTGACTATCACATACATTTTCCATCTATTGAGTTACAAGATCACATGAATGTGACACTCACCTTCAGAGACGTGAAGCCCAATGAAGAGAAGATAAAAGTCAGCAACATCCTCACTAGTAAAACAACACTGAGTTCACAGCACACTGACAGCTCCACACCCAGCACTACACTAGCCCTGTATACCACACTGAGTACACAGCTCTCTCAGCAGCTCTTCACTGGAGTCTAACCCACTCTAAAGTTTGTGTAGCTCAGACTGTCTGTTTGAGTGGAGCTCGTCTGTCTTTTAAAGTTTTCATCATCAGCTTTATGACACTCTCAAAACCACACACAAAGACATGCTGGTCTCTGAGTCGTGAGAAAGCTGATTGTTTCCTCTTTTGTGGTCCATCATTTCATAGTACACACACCCACACTGTCCAAGTTACTGCATCTGCAGTGGTTGTGGGGTGAGGTTCATGGGAGGGGGTTGTCCGTGGAGAGAGCGGGCATGAGAAACAGTCACAGATACAGTCGGCTAAAATACATTGTCAGTAAAAAAAAGTTGCTGTACAGGTATATTTTTGTTAAAGTTACAAAGGGCAAAGATACATATTCACACCTGTATCTCATCTGTACTTCTTTCTTCCCATTCTAGAACCGAGAATCGTCACAACTGTCTAGAGCCTTTCATTTTATCTCTTTATCACATTCGCTTTGTTCCTTATATTTTAGGCCGATTTAGCAGTCAGTTGTCACTAATGTTTCCTTTATAGTGTCCAGTCCTGCAGATATTCCACGTATCTTCCACTGGTAGCTATTTTGATCTCTAGCTGTCCTCCATATTGCCTGAGGCCCCATAATGTAGTTTGTGCAGTGAGATAAAAATCTCAAAAGATGGTTTAAAGTGTGAGAACTGAAACTGAATCAAGCAATTCTGACCACATGCACTTCTCTTTTTCTTTTTTAAGTACTGCCGTCCCTCTATTCTGTGGTTTAACTGGTTCTTCTCTCTGGCCCTTTTATGGTAATGAGATGTCGTCTTATGGTAGAGAAGCTTCTGCGACTTATATGCCTCCAAGTTGTTTTTGCTGCAGTAGTTTATTATATGAGGATAGAGCATCACATTCTGTTATCTGCAGTGATTGCATGGTCAAGGTATGTGCCAACTTTGGCTCATAGTCAACTACAGCTAAAACCTCTTTTGCCATGTCTGATCTGTTAAAAGATTTAAGATGGTGGAGAACGTAAGGGGTATATTTGGCAATGGAGTGGCACTCAGCATTTGGTGAGAGAGTGCAGCTGATGTTAAACTGGTGAATGGCAGTTGTGAACACTGCTTAGCAGTCTGTTATGCAATTTGAGCTCTCCACAACAAAAGGTGCTGACCTGGCAGAGGTGAAGTCTTCAGCACCACGGATAGTGCCTCGTTTATCCTAGGCTGGTTCAACAGTGCAGATACAGGAGGAACAGCTCTGTCCCCTTCATACATGACAATTTGTCAGAGGATCAAAAGAGATATTTGAGCAGATTTAGGGACCACAGTGCAACTGTGATGGTGAATGGCTTCAGGTCCTGTTCATGTTCTTTTTCCAGTTGAGTGAACTCTGAATACTCTGCCCTCGTCCCACATGGACACAGGGTGTGTTCCAATACCTACAGAACTCCCTTTAGTAGCCACAGTCTACACTGGCAGCTGTCTAAGTAGGTAGCATTCCAACATCATCAAATAAATGATATGCTTTAGTTAGTTTCTGGACAATTAGTGTCCAGAAAACTGTAAAATGGTCACTAACAGACCTAAATTGTAAACTATAGGCTATTTGTGCACCTTTGTGACAAGAAAACAAATACATTGCCACAGAAAATCAGAATAACTAACATTTGAAGACGACTTTCATGCTTGCTGGGCAGCTTGCCACACCACTTCTGTCTGCCAAACAAATTTTGTGCTGTATTGCATTGTGGGATTGCTAGGAAACATCCAACGCTCTCTCGATATTCGGCCAAAATAAGATACCTCAGTAGGCCGCATATTTGAGGTATCTAAGAATTGAGACAGCCTTCTTGTCGGGAGCATGCATATTGTGACATAAAATCCTGTCTATGTAGAGAACTCAGTGTGGATGTCACTTTTGAGTGACACCTACAGACTCTCCAAAATAAGAGAACTGATCCTATTTGTAAGATGGATAATGACCTGTACCTCTGGGAAGGCCCTCCTTCTGTTCTTCTCATCCTACAACTAAAGTTCAGTCAAATCTGCCTTTAGCTTGTTGTTTCATATTTTTATTGGCTTGATTTCTTGTAATATTTTGCTACTTTAAGTTGCCAGAAACTAGCTGTCATGTTTTCCCAACACAACCTGGAATTTCTTAATATAACTTGTGTTTTTGGCTCTATATCTACATTCACATTTAGTTTCTGTTAGTATTGATGTGGATGTATTTACAGAACAGCTCAACAGGCCCAAAGAATGTGTGGAAATCCTTGCATACAGGTGCAACACCAGACCCAGACTGTTTGGATGCAAATGTAGACTATTTACCAAAGTTTAAATTTCAAGTAAAAAACAACAACAAACCCTCAAAAATAACATGTGTAAAGACCTACAGATCATTTCCAGAGATATAAACAACATGGCAAAAAAAATAACAGATGTGGCTGATAAAATACAAGTAACATACAGTAAAATGCTTCATGTGTGAAGGAATCTGCCCTTCTTCTTCTTAGCTTGGTAGAAACAAATGCAGATCCAAGTGCTCAGAACATGCCAACTACACATCGTTTGATTCATGACATTCAAAGCTATGATTTGTGTGCAAGTTGGTCAATAAATTTAATTCAAGTCCATTGAAACAAACACCTGCCAACTAGTCCGTTACATCATCTGAAGATATCACACATAAGTTTCCTGCTTATGTCATTTATATGAAATGGCTTAATTCATGCAGTTAAGTTTCTTCATATACTGATCAGGCATAACATTATGACCACCTTGTTTCTACACTCATTGTCCATTTTATCAGCTCCACTTACTATATAGGTGCACTCTGTAGTTCTACAGTTACAGACTGTAGTCCATCTGTTTCTCTGATACTTTGTTAGCCCCCTTTTACCCTGTTCTTCAGTGGTCAGGACCCCCATGGACCCTCACAGAGCAGGTAGTATTTGGGTGGTAGATCATTCTCAGCAGTAACATTGATGTGGTGGTGGTGATCAGACACAGCAGTGCTGCTTTTTAAACACTGTGTCCACTCACTGTCCACTCTACTAGACACTTCTACCTTGTCAGTCCACCTTGTAGACAATAGCTAGATTTCAGTGTAAATTTCATGATGAATGGACCAAAAGAAATGGCCAAAAATGACTTGGAAAAATGGCTGGTTCCATTGACTTACATTAAAAGTAGAGTAGGTTTTTTCCTTCTCCTGTAAAGTTACCATTTTGGAGAGTAACAGCAACAGTGATATAAAACTGAATAACTATATTGTCAATAAAATTAGACAAAATTTAGTAAAGAATATATATATATATATATATATATATATATATATATATATATATATATATATATATATATATATATAAATTCATGTAAATGAGGAAAAAATATAATACAAATAAAAAAGTAAAAAAAGCAACAGATTGTATTGTGATATATGTTTGCCTTTGTACCGACAGCACCTGGATGAAATTTCATATTTTCACTTAAGAGGATCTGCACTACTCCAGACTGACCACTCCATCTCCATCAGCAGTGCTGTAGAGAACTCTGGCAGGATCTGACAGAAATGTTTTCAAGAAAGACGTTAATTAATACACAGAAGAACATTAGCATGATTACAACAGCTTGATTGTGTAGTTTGTACCTTTGTTTCTCTTGGTGTGATAAACCACAGCTACTATAATGTGGAGGAAGATCACAGTCACCAAGGCAAAGGGGACGAAGGGCAGGACTGTGGAGAGACTGAAAAATGAAATTATGAATTATGAAACACTATACATTTTAAGTAATACGTCAAGAGAATTTTACCTATAACAGTGAGTTTGAGGACTATGTGTTCACTTCCTCCAAGATCACACTTATACCATCCCCCATCCTCTTCAGTCAGGTGTGATATGAGTAGAGAGAGATTTCCTGGAGAGTGACCATTAACCAGCTGAACTCTGTTTCTGTACTGACCACTCTCACTGGATATCTCTTCCCAGGAGGCACTGGTTATGTTGAGTTTTTCCCAGGTGAATCTCTCAGGTTTGGTGTGTTGGTCAGTGCAGTAGCAGGGCAGTAGTACTGACCCTCCTGTATGAGCTGAGATACTCAGTGGTATTCCACTATTTTCCAGAGAGCAGACTGTAGAAACATATGGTACAGATTTGTCATGTTTTTAATGTAGCACAATTCATGAACAGGCAGAATTAATCAATGTGTGATCTCTTATAGCAATGTTTACATGACAAACAGTATTGCATGGGCATGCCCACTTTCTTTTAAGCAATACAGAATTTTTATTCAAAATAATTCTGAATGATTATGATTTTTATACAGTGTAAATGCATTAAGCAAGGGCATTTTGTCGAAAAAAATGAAGCTTTTTGGGGGGAGGGGTAGCTTTTTTTTTGAGGGGGGGGTGGGGGGGGGCAGCAACAGTGTATCAAGACAGATAAGTGATTTCTTTTCCCAGGTAACTCTGGATATCTCTTCTTTGTTTGAGCCCTGGATTTCACCTGTGAAGACTGCCTTTGTTTGTAAAAAGGATAGACTTATGAGATACAACTTGAAGACCAAAAACTGTCTATGGGAGAAAAGAAGACCATTTTAAAGCAAAGAGTAAGTATCAATCAGAGCCTTTGCTCAAGAATTGCACAAAGCCAATGCAATAATTTGGAATGTCTATAAAAAGAAAGCAATCACTTTGGTCTACTAACAACCAGACATTTAAAAAGTTGGCCAAAGACAATAACAGCAGTTGATGACAGAAACATTGTGATAGCTGTGAAGAAAAACCTCAAAACAATAGTCGGTGACATCACCAACAACCTACACGATGTACTCTTTGGCGGCCCAAGGAGTTACCGCTGCGCCACCGGGAAGCGCAGGTGAAAATAGGAAAAACACCTCAACGAATGGTAAATAAAAAAGGTAAGTAGAGGAGTCCACAGGTGTGCCAGGTTGGGCCTAACTTATTACATGTCAGTATTACCTGTCTTAGTGTCATTTAATGCCATTTCTAGCTGTAACACAGACATGTGAAGCTTGTAACAGACATACAAAGTAAAGAGTATGTTGCCTGTATGGCTGTTAGAATCTTTGTCTTTTCCATTTCAGTGAACGTGCCATTTAATGTTTTAATGTTTGCAATTCTGCAGCTTGTTGCTACGTCAGAGTAACGAACTCCGCTCACTCGCTGCACAGACAGCAGTTTGTTCTCCAGCTCCTTACACTAACTTCCAAAACTTTCATTACCACTGAGGAAGCTTTTCAGAAGAACACCTAAACAACTTGGAATTAGCCAGAAATGAACTGAATATCATTCACCAAACGTGTAGTCTCATCTTCAGAGTCTGACCAAATCGGACTGAGCCATAAAAATGCCGCAATATCAAGTGTAGCTCAGTTTTGTCAATTTTTACCAGATCAATATTAATGTTATTTTGTATTTTAAATAGTAGCCCAGAGTGATTTACCTGTAACAGTGAGATTGAGGACTATGTGTTCACTTCCTCCAAGATCACACTTATACCATCCCCCATCCTCTTCAGTCAGGTTTGATATAAGTAGAGAGAGATTTCCTGGAGAGTGACCATTAACCAGCTGAACTCTGTTTCTGTACTGACCACTCTCACTGGATATCTCTTCCCATGTGTTTTTGGGTTTTCTTGAGTTTGTTCCAGGTGAATCTCTTAGGTTTGGTGTGTAGGTCAGTGCAGTAGCAGGGCAGCAGTACTGACCCTCCTGTATTAGCTGAGATACTTAGTGGTATTCGAATGTTTTCCAGAGAGCAAACTGTAGAAACATATGGTACAGATCATTTGTCATGTACATTTTTAATGCAACACTGCAGAAATTTTGTTCAAAATATAATGATGATTTTTATACAGTGTAAAGGGCAGCTGTATTTTATAGGAATTATTATTATTATCATTATTTATTTATTTTATTTATTTATTTTTATGGGGGGGGGGTCACACGTATAGATATCAACCGGAGTCTTTGCTCAAACACTGGGCAAAGCCAATACAATAATTTGGCAATCACCTGACAACTACAGCAGTTGATGACAGAAACATTGTGATAGCTGTGAACAAAACCAGTCTGTGACATCACCAACAATCTACATGGGGCTACATGATATTTTTTATATCCTTCGACGATACATGTCTCTGTATCCCCTTCTTCTTAGCATTACACCTGTACACTCCTCCATCCTCTTCACACAGGCTTGATATGAGCAGAGGCAGAGTGATCATTAACCAGCTGAGCTCTGTTTCTGTTTATTCTGTTTAGCCAGAGGAATATATTGACTTGTATTCACAAAACTTTGAAAAGAACAAAAGGACCCAATGCATTTTGCTTGTGTACTAGTAACTGCATAATTTTTAGTATTTAGACTCTTAAGTGTTTTAAAATTAATATTTAGACAGAATGACCTTACATTTGATGAAAGCTGACACTGGAGTTCATCTTCATCTAAAGTTTTCACCAGCAGTTTTGCAACAGCCACAAAACCACATCCAGCATCATGGTCTAGTCTGTCACAACACTTGCTGTTCCTGTTTCGTAGTTCACCCTATCACAGTGCACACAAACTGTTAAAGTCTATTAAGAGTGATACCTTGAGGAGGGGCTGTTGTCACATCAACATATACTCTGTATGGCCAAAAGTATATGGACACCACTCCTAAATATTGAGCTCAGGTGTTTCCACCACTCCTATTGTATAAACCCATTCACACAGCCATCATCTATAGACAAGTATTGGCAGTAGAATGGGTCATACTGAAGAGCTCATTGACATTAAAGGTGGCAATACCATAAAATGTCATCTTTCGCCAATTAGCCAGTTTGTGAAATTTCTATTAGTCAAAGTCAGTATGTGAAAATTCTACCCTGCTAGATCTGCCCAGGTTAACTGCAAATGCTATTATTGTGAAATGGAAGCATCTAGGATCAACACCAGCTTAGTCACAAAATTGTAGACCAGGCAAGCTCACAGAGCAGGGAACTCACAAAACATAGTGCCAACAGTAAAGTTTGGTAGAGGAGGGATAATTATCTGGGGATGTTTTTCTTTTAGGGTTTTGGCTCAGCCCCTTAGTTCCAGTGAAGGGTAATGTTACAGTGTACAATGACATTTTAAGCAATTAAGTGATTCCAACTTTGTGGTGATGGTTTGGGGAATGCCCTTTCATGCCGCCCATAAGTGTGTCCCTGTGCACAACGTGAAGATAATAAAGACATAGTTTGATAAGTTTGGTGTGGAGGTACTCTTTCCAGAAGGGTGGATGCTATTAGACTTTTGTTTTTGTGGGAACAGCATGACTGAGCCCCAGTGCACAAAGCAAGGTCCCTAAAGGCATGGTTGGGGGAGTTTGGTGTGGAAGAACTTGACCTGCCTACACACAACCCTGACCTCAGCCTCATCGAACATCAGTGGGATGAACTAGAATGAAGAATGCGAGCCAGGCCCTCTCGTCCAACATCAGTGTCTGACCTCTTCTAGATGAATGGGACCAACTCCATATTATTGGCTATGGGTTTAGAACGGAATGTCATAAAAGCCCCAATATGCAGTTGTCCCCAAAGTTTTGTCCATGTAGTGTACTTTTAGCTTTATGGTGTATAGAACAAGCCTTGTTAACTGTTCCCTTGTTTTTATCTTTAGTTCTTTTTTTTATTTATTAAAAATTCTCCACTTGTGTTGGACAGGGGACCAGATCATCTCTTCTGACCATTACACTAAATGTCAAAAAGCAGCTTTTTCACAGCAATTTTTTAAATTTCGACTTAAATTCATCTTTTTACTTCTATGACTAATACTGACATTTATACTCAACAACAGAAATGTGAAGCTTAATAAAGATTAAAACAGAATAAATTTTTGGCAGTAAAACAACATTGACTCCTAATTATGATTCTCTCCACTTACTGAAAACACATTCCCACCTCCAGAACTCCCTCTTCAAATGAGTTCTTCTCTACTTCTTCAATGAGATCTAAGACACTCCTTTGTCACGTGACTACAGAGTTTAGTAGTGAACAATGAACAATAATATTTTCATAGTTTCGATTAGCAACAAAGATGAGATTAATGTTTTACCTTTAACATAGAGCCTGATATATAAGTATCCACTCTTGTCTGCATTACAATGGTAAACTCCTCCATCTTCTTCAGTCAGGTGTGATATGAGTAGAGAGAGATTCCCTGGAGAGTGACCATTAACCAGCTGAACTCTGTTTCTGTACTGACCACTCTCGCTGGATATCTCTTCCCATGTGTTTGTGTTTTTGTTGAGTTTCGTCCAGGTGAATCTCTGAAGTGCGGCGTGTCGGTCAGTACAGTAGCAGGGTAGCAGTGCTGACCCTCCTGTATGTGTTGTGATATGTGATGTCGTGTCAGTGTTTTCCAGAATGCAGCCTGCAGAAACACATATACGAACTGTCATAGGATAAAGTAGGATCACATTTTTTTAAGTTACATGAAGTCATGAAGTCAGTTGACAGCTTAGGGTAAAAAAGTAAACTAAATGGTTACGTAGTGCTGAGTTTGAATATGTTATATTAGATAAATGGATCTCATACTATTGCCATAGTTTGACTGGTATGTATATTAATGTTTTAATATTTTCATATCATGATAAAAAAAGTCACTCACCTTCAGAAACATGAAGCCCAATGAAGAGAAGATAAAAAGTCAGCAACATTCTCACTAGTAAAACAACACTGAGTTCACAGCACACTGACAGCTCCACACCCAGCACTACACTAGCCCTGTATACCACACTGAGTACACAGCTCTCTCAGCAGCTCTTCATTCTAAGTCATGCACAGTCTCAATGTGTCCTGTGAGTTGTGAAGTAATGTGCTGGTTCCTCTTTTCCAGAGCATTATTTGGTAATACACACACACGCACTGACCAAGAGATAGTGTGAAGGGGGGTGGGGTATCACGGTTTAAGTGTCTGCTGTAAGTGTCAGCTGAAAATGAAAATTATTCTCCCATATTTGTCTTGTATGTCCTGGTGGGTCAGTGAGAGGTGAATGGCAGAGGATATGGCACCCTCTATAGACCAGTTAGGGCAATACACAAACTGAAATGGATCCAGTGTGGTAGGAGGTGCTTTATGTTTCATTACCGCCTGCTCAAGGCACTCGATGAGCGCTATGGGTCAGTAGTCATTAAGACAGGACAAGGTAGATTAACATGATGGATTTTTTTTTTTTCTGCATTTAATGCAGAAAATGATCACAGGGATGATGGTGGTTCTTTTAAAGCACAACTGCCTGGCTCAGAGAGATGTTGGAGATGTCCGCAGGCTGTTCAGCACATCACCTGAGAACCCAACTAGGTATGTTGTCAGGGCCATTAGCCGTCTGAGGGTTAACTGTGGAAAGAGTAGTCCTAACGTCTACTATGGATAGACTAAGTATTTGGTTGGTGGGAGGCGGGGTGGTGTTCCTTGCTGGCTGGTTGTTCTGTGCTTTAAGCCATTCTCAGAAATCTTTCAGTGCATCAGGGAGCAAAGCATCACCATCACAGGCATATGATGTCACTTTGTAGTCAGTGCTGGCCTGAATGCCCTGCCACAAACGCTGTGTGTGTCTGATGTCTAGAAAGTATCCGTGGATTCTCTGTGCATAGTTGTGCTTTGCCTCTCTGATAGCCCAGGACACACAGGAGAGCCGAAAGCTGCCTTGCCGTCTAACTTAAAGGCAGTGTTCCAGGTTTTACGTAGTGCATGCACATCTACAGTCATGGCTTCTAGTTAGCATGTGTGATGATGGTGTTGAAGGAAGTCACATCATCAATGCACTTGCTATAGCCAGTTGCTGTATATTCCTCTAAATTTATTGAACCATTAACTGAAAATGTTCCAGTCTGTGTGCTCAAAACAGTCCTGAAATGCTGAGATGGTCCTCATAGAAAAGCGTACAGAATGTACACAAGTACTACTAGGGCTACAAAGCTTCCTGGGCCACTGCAGTTGAGGATTCTTTTAGGGCTAAGAGGCTTCCTAGGCCAGCCATCTGAGCAATGCTACGGTACAGTTAGGCCTTCCAGGTGGAGAGAGATCATCCACTGCGGCTAGACTCTTTTCGGGCTACGAGGCTTCCCAAGCCAGGCATCTGAACTATGCTACCCTGCTGCTACAAGACCTCTTGTCCTAAAAGGACATTACATTTTCAATGTAGCCTTTACATTAAGTTCAGGTTTTTTTTTTTGTTTTTTTTTTAATTAATAGAATGATTTTTTTTTCAGTTGGCCTGATATGACTTTTAACATTGGCCTTAAGTAATACTTTAAGCAAAGACAACTGAATGAAATTAATACAATTGAGAAGGCATAACAAAAGCTGTTTTTATTCATCTGAAAAATCTCATGAATCTACTTAAAAACCATGCAAAATATTGCCTTGATATATATATATATATATATATATTTTAAATCCAACAGATTTTTTCAGTGTACATTCCTGGAACTGTCTTTCAAAGTTAAACTTTGCGCCACACAAAGTGACACGGCGTCTACTGAGACACGAGAACCCTTACTGATTCCACTTTTGTGGTGCATGTTTTCACAGTACACACAACCACAGTGACCAAGTTATTTCATACACACATCTAAGTTACTCCATGTACAGTGGGTTGGTGTGGGGTTTAGGAGAAGAGTTTGGGTGTCTGCTTCAGAGGAGAGAAGGGCATGAAAAACAGAAGAAACAGTTTACTAAAGTAAAGTTATATACACTCCTCCCTCTTAAACTCTCCCTCTCTTTTCAGAGCTTAGATTGTGTTAAACATACACTCTACCTTGAGGTCCAGAAAACTTATCTACTCAGTTGAGCTATAACAAAACCTCGTATCTCCAAAATGGTAAGTTTACAGGAGAAGGAAAAAACATACTTTACTTTTAATGTAAGTCAGTGGAACCAGAGTTTTTTCCAAGTCATTTTGGGCTGTTTGTTTTGGCCCATTCATCATGAAATTTACGTACAATGTACATGAATGTACAATGAACAACAGGCATATTCAAATTATGTTAAAAACTGAAAAACAACAAAAATGAGGATTTGAGGTTTTCTTCTGATAGCTGCGATATATACATATGCTATATGAAGAGTCTGTGAGAAGCTTCATTTGGATAGCCAGTGCTGCAATGCTAAAGGCTACTGCATAGCAGCAGTGACCTCACTACTGTGTTATGTGCATATTATGGTATTTGTGAGGTTGCTGAAATCCTCCTGAAGAAACAATAGCAATATGCTGAACAGATCTACCCATAGCTATAATTTTCCTTTTATTTATCATAAAGTATATACAAGTGCAACCTCAGCTCTTTTGGATACAGTTTTTTTTTTTTTTAAAGCTTTAAAAAAAACTGAAACCATTGATGGTGGTGGGGATTAATAGTAAATAACACCTGGAAAATTGGACAATTAAACAGAAAAATCATCATTCTGACAAAGTCAATATAACGTTAAGCTCATATCTGACCACACAGAAACAACCTGGACATCACATTAAACACACATGCTTAACACATGCTAATCTGCACTGACCAGTTGCAAACTGACACCATGATACATGTGATCTGTGTGGCTAAAGGCCTGTTGATTCACCTCCAGTCACTTAGTGATCAACTGAGCGTGTATACAAGGCTGTAGGGTGTCCCATTTTTCATTATGGTGTTCAGAAGGCTGCTTCACTCTTACTGAAGCTTTTGATGAGGACTGCATTAATGTGGACTCTTACCCAAAATTTAGGTCTGGATCAATCAGAACATCTTTGTCTGCAACACTGTTGTCAACACCAAACTGTGGATTTGGAGGAGGACCACAGGACTTGGGACTTTAGAACTTGTTTTAACACAGATTTATTTCCATCACCATAGACGTGGGAGGTTACAAGAGTATTCTGAAACATGTTCAGAATTAGCTTTAGTGATCCTTAGTGGTGCACCTTGTACTGCTGAGCCACTGTTTGGATGAGCATATTGGGGAATGCAAGCATCGCTTTCCATCCATTCTTTCCATCTTCTTATTAAGGCGTTATCCGTAAGTATATTGTTTAAAGGAACAATATATACATTGTCTATGCTTTATTTTTAATGGCTGTTGTGTTTTAGAGAATTATTTTTATTTGTAGTCACACTAGTTGCTCAATGCCTGATACACTACTCTATTCTATGTAAAGAACTGAATGGGGATGTGAAAGAACAGAACCTGTACTAAACTTACCTGTATATCTCCATGACTACTTGGAAAGAAAACACATTTTCTCTATTTGTGTTGATGTTATGAAATGGGTTTTTGCAAGTTTGGCTGGGCCTCATATTGGCAGTAACATTCTCACAGCCAAGGCAATTTGTATCGATCTTTGTTTTATGTTTACTTTGTACATTCTTTTTTTGTTTTGTTTCTATTGATGATGCACTGAAATCCATACTGCTATTTCCTTCTGTTTTTACAGCTTCACACCGCTTCCATTAAAACTGCCTAAGAAGTACTGCCTTGGCTACTTTTTGAAGGAGCGTTTAAATATCTTCAAAGCTTTGTATGTAAATACTTAGTGAGCGCAGAAGAAGCAGACATTTGTTTTCTTTCTCCATTCAAGTTAACTCTAAAGGCTCTGCCCTCTTCTCACGAAGACACACACTATCACACACACTGTCAGCTCAGGGGATCAAACCGGCAAACTTCCGGTTGCAAGGCTGGTTCCCTAACTGCTCCTCGTGACTCTCAATGCCTATGTATTTAGAATGGGATATCATTAAAGCTACTGTAGGTGTAAGGTGTAGGTGTCCCAATAGTTTTGTCTATACACACCTGTAACCGATACAAGTAGTTGTGAAAGTTGTTAATATGTACAATTTGTAGAACACAGGCTTGGTTCCATCCATCTGACAGAGTAATTTAATGACAGTCCTGATTAATAATCAATAAACTAAAATATTAGCCAACTTGAGTATTTCGAGATCTACTACAAAAGGTAACATTGGGAAGTAGGCTATAGACTGCATGTATTTGGGATATCACCTCTAAAGGGGATGAACTCAATGAACTCTTGGAACTCATAAAGAAAGAAACTGTACAAATTGTAGCTACAAGTTATGGTTGAAAGGAGGGGAATTGTTGGATGACATTCTAAACTATAGCCAAGGTAAAAACGAATTAAAGGGGAATTCTGTTAGATGACAGTATAAATTATAGCTGAAGTGAGCTCATGCACTTGGGTGAAGAAGCTGTGTAAGATGGCCTTGAGAGTATCAAACAGCCTGGTACGCCCAGGTTAGAATGGTTTTTAAAAAAATGACATCATGTGCGTTTGGTTCTAAAGGTTTCCAAAAAGGTGCAGGGTTTGGACACAATGGGGACTAAGATGATATGGAATTGTGTAAAAAGGGAAGGGGTGATTACTTAAT